GCCCCCTAGGTCAGGCGGGGGGAGGGGGGCAGTGCATAAGCTCAGTGCCGAGATCTCGCTTTACTGTTGAAAGGAGGGGTGGGGGGCCCCCAGCAAAGCAGCGCTGTGTGTCACCTGCACTTGATGTCTGTCTTGCACATGAGATTGGCCTTCAGTTTGGTCACCACGATGCAGATGACTCGGACAAAGATGAAGAAGTTCACCTGCACGGCAGATGGGTCGTGGCTGGAGCCCTCCCATGGTGCCCACTCGACCCTGGCACCATCCCAGGCGGATCATCACCCTGACCCCCTGACCCCCAGGCAGCCACTCACTCCAATGGCAAAGAGAATGGGCAGCCGGATAATGAGCCAGTAGTTCATGTTTGAGTTCCTGGTCCAGCACCTGGGAAGGGAGAGAGAGGCTCACACACATTCATTTATTTCTCCGTGGTTCCGTTAGCACTCAGCTGCTGGCTGCCGAGCTGGTGGTTCGAACCCACCCAGCGTCTCCGATGGAGGAAAGATCCGGTGATCTGATTTTGAAGATGGAACCCAAACCCACTGCCCTCGCGTCCACTCCGTAGGACAGGGTAGAACTACCCACGTAGGTTTCGGAGACCGTAACTCTTTACGGGAGTAGGAAGCCTCGTCTTTTTCTCTCAGAGCATCTGATGGGTTTGAATTGCTGACCTGGCCGTTAGCAACCCAATGTATAACCACGACGCCACCAAAGCTCCACTTTGTAAAGATTGCAACCTACAAAAGCACGTACTGGCAGTTCTACCCTGCCACATGGGGCCACTATGAGTCAGAAACAAACTCAATGGCATCCACGAACAACACACACACGGACACACACACCTGCCATGGTTACCCATTAAACGGTCCAGAGACCCACACAGAGTCCTGCAAGTGCACAGTCGCACGCGTGTGCACACACACAGACATGCTATCATGACACGTGGCCACACACTTCTCCAAACAAGCTGTCATAGACCTATAATCCCAGTCAGTCATGTGCAGTCAAGGGCCACACAAAACACAACACCAGCATTCTAGTCACAGATATTATACAGCAGCCTGCTGGAAGACATCACATAGCCACACACAAAGCCACACTTGTCATTACACAATCCCCCAAAGGGGGATTAAGGGATACATTCCTACATTAAAGCTCCCAGGCCCTGTGCAGCCTCCCAACAAGTTGGAAGCCACACACCCAGGGACTACAGAATCCTATGGGTTTTGGGACCCCCAGCACACTGGAAGCCAGACACTCACCCTTCATCCTCATAGAGGTACTTGATGATGCCCCAGGGGATAACGAACAGCAGGGGGACACCTAGGAGAGAGGGAGAGAGAAG